TTATTAAGTACGTATTTCATTACAAAAATTGGTACCCGCCTGCGGGATTCAAACATCGTTGCATTGTCGACGTCTTATCCTTTAGGCCACGACGACTTCAAGACTCAAGACTGTGTGATTTGTATTCCCGATTATTTTTTATTTTATTGATTAATATTATTATTTACCGTATTAACCGAACACAGTTGTATTATGAACAGACCTTCACGACTCCCAGACTGCAGTCCGCAAACTGCATCAATCTAATTCCGGGAATCGAAACATGGTGCATACAAAAACAAACCTAATTCCTAAGATCCACGAGCTTAATTCGTATTAAGCTTCGTGAATGAGAAATTAGGACACAAGTATCCGACCCATTTGTGAATCGAGTTAGTGCTAATGTTTTGAAATTGGCATTAGCAAATTAAGTTAGTTTTTAGTTTTATCTACGTTCTATTTAGTTGATGAATCATAATCGGCCTAGTTTCAAGCTCAAATTATGAAGTTTGACTGTTTGACTGTGTTTGCTTAATTGCGACTTCTGCCGTGAAGCAGAAATGCGGTCTGAGGTAAGGGTGGGGCAGCCGTTGCCCTATAAAACTGAAATTTAAATTTCGCAAGGTTACGTTATTGAGGTCTATGGGTTCCGCTAACCATTTAACACGAGATGGCCCGTGAGACCGGCCATCCAATTAAGCTTCAACTAAAGTGATTTAATACTGCCGGATAAGTTTTATTCAGTTAAGCTCGCACGTCTAGTCCAAATTGGGGTAAGTAATGTTCACCAAGAGTGTTAAGCAATTGAACTATATTGCAAACAAGTACCGATTCTCAGTATCTATGGCATACTATAAGTTTTAATGTAGATGACGTCATGACGATGACGTTAATTATTTTTAGATTATTAGTGAATATGCGCACGCTTCGCTCCCTTCCGAGCGTAACTGATCCCGAATCCTGATCACGCAGGAGCAAGTCACCGTCGTCGCCCTAGATACGTCCTTACGGATCCATCAGATCCAATAACTCTTGCATTAGATACCTTCAGCTCTAACACTAGGAGCAGGCTGAGGAACCCCGGTAACCGTACTCGTCGAACTCGACAAAGAGGTCGACGTGCAACCTAACCCATGCATCAGCTCGCTGAGTTTCTCGCCGGATCTTCTCAGTGGGTCGCGATTCCGATCCGGTAGTAGATTAATTCGTGAAGCAATTGCTTTTGAGTTGTTAGGTCTCCTTCGGAGGCGCTCGGGCAGTTGTTAGCAAATCCCACCCCTCCTGGCTGAGCCTTTGCTCGCCCACCTGTCCTGGTGAAGGTCTCCGGGCCACCAGTAATCTTTCAATCATAAAAAAAAAGCGTAACTGATATAGCCCCTGAGGCTACCAAAGAATGCGTAGCGGGAAAAAACCGCTTCGCTATGACTGGCAATTTTTGAGAAAAACATTGATTTCTTGTAACTATTCATTAGCCATCTATTTCACGTTGATGGTGCTATGACAAAAACCTTCCCTAGATCGACAACTGTACTAAGTTTCATCACAATCGAAGCGAAATGGTCGATTTTTTTAAATAGTTCCATAATCGATTATCGTGAACAGGTTCTAACCCTACCAATATATCTTATGTTTGGTTTGTGTTATCTGTACAGTACTATGTTTGGTTTGTGTTATCTGTACAGTACGGTAGCGTGAGTGTTGCCACAATTTCCCATAGACCACTCGAATTCTCGACGGATCTTCTCAGTGGGTCGAGATTCCGATGATAGACTCAGAGAAGCTCTGCTCTCGCTATGGCGGATTCTTTAGTTAGTTAGCAAATGCTTTCTGAACCCCGTGAGCTCACCCACCCCCACCAGTCAAGATGAACCAGAATAACCCCTCTAGGCAAAAAAGTCACAATATAAACGCATGTGTCTCTTGCAGAAAAACCCGACCCTTCATTGTGGAGTAAACTTTTATACGGACATATTCAGCTGTGTTTACTCGAAACTCGAAGCGCTGAACTAACCCACCACTCAACTGTATACAGTATGATGTTTAATAAGGAACATTATTTTATAGAAAATTCATTAAGAGATAGATTCGAAATTCATATAGACTGTACTATACGTGGTGCTGATTTTTTATCGGTAAAGCGGAGTTGTGTAATAAAAATAATTGTGAATTTGTGTTTCATTAAGTTTGAATGTGTATTAATGGTGGTCAATTAAGCGTTCTTCCCAAAAATCTGCTAGACTCAGTAAACTGCCATCATTTTAATAGGAGAACATTTCATTCTGATCTTGTTTATTTAGCAAAGTGTATGTTTGTAATAAGATTAATTGAAATAAAAACAAATTTCGACGCTGGCAACAATGGTATCGCAAGATTGCCACTGAAAAAAAGAAAAAGAAATAGAGTACATCTCGTTCGCACCAGTACAGTGACGTTCTTTATGTTCACATTTATTTTCTTATCTGATTTTTATATTTTTGCAAGGCCTTGGCTGAATTTTTTTATTTCAATTTTAATTTCATAATAACCCCGCTTTCATTAAAAAAACTAAATTTTGAGTCAACATCCTTAATGTGAACATAAATTGACGTTTACTCCCTACGCAGGAAGTTTAGTGGTTACACTATATCCGCTTCGGGGGATAAAAAGAATGGGCGAAATAGATTTTTACCTTTGTGCACTACGCGTATTTATTCTACCCTGCCCATTACGGCCGCAAAACATTTAATTTTTGCATTTCGGTTTTGAAGGCATTCTAACTTTTATATGTACTGAGAATCATAGCTTATTTTTTAAAGTTTCCATTAATACATTAAAAGCACATAAGACTTACTTAATTTTACGCATTTTCCAAATTTCCGGCTTTTAAACAATTTTTTTTTAAAATGTATTATAAATAAGCCACATTGAGATCATTACAACACTATTGAAATGATAATAAGTTGCCGATACACAGAGCAAGTCTATGGACTAAATTGTGTAACCATATCGCTATATTTTGACGTTGACGCACGTGCGCATTCCCTACACAATAGCGAACAGCTGGCTGTAGCAAAATCGATTTTTTTAAACGAAAAATCGATTTCTATTTATAGACGTATAATAACACGTGCACCCGAAAAAGTAGTATCAGATATTAGAACGTCGCGGCGTCGGTTACTACGATTAAATTATGTTTATTAACTTGCACTGCCTGGATTACGAATAAAATCCATACAATAATGAAGAATATGTATCTGCCTAGAATAAGCCCTTTCTCTCCGCGTAGGTACTGCAAAAGGTGGGGATTTGCCGGGAAATAAGGTAGCATAGTGCCGGAGAATAGTAAGTAGAATTCTCCTAATAAATATTATACCAACATAATGTGATCATTATTCGGTATTTACTAGTGGTAGAACGTGTTGATAGCCACAGTCTGGGTGTTTTGTTTATTCCTAGATCGATAATCACGCGTCCTGGCTTGAAGGAGGAAAACGCCAGAGATACACACCAGGACCCCGGTGCTATTCACAATAAACGCTAAATGGCATAAGCTATTGCCATTAAAATAAACGAAACATAGTTTCAATTATGCTATAAATGTGCAGTAGATTTCTAGAATATACGAGAACAATGGAAGATTCATTTAATTTCGTCAAAAAAAAAAAACATTTCCAATTTTATCAATCGTAAAACGTAATAGTACGTATTCGTATCTCATAAAATAATCGTTAGAAACAATTATAACAGACTATGCGATTATACGATAATCCTACAAAGAAACATTGTAATTGGCATCAGTCATTTCCTGTAGTATCGCAAAAAGGTGTATTGTTAGTTCGTGTCAGCCCTCGATGACCACGTTCCGTGTATCCGTATTCCGAATCAATACAAACAATGACAATTCATCGTCAATAGATCAACTACATTCTATTTATGAATTGTTTTTTGTTCGAGAACTTTTTATTATGAATGTTCGATTCAATGTCAATTTGATGTGGTTTGATAATCTCGATACGTTGATTTAAAAATGGCTACCATTTTAGCGGGAAAACTGAAGTATTCTATAGGTTATGTTTGTTTATTGTTTGGTGAATTTATAATTATCCTTTTTCTTCTGTTTCTTGCTCCTATCCCACATTAAGGTCGGTGCAGAATGTCCTCTTATCATGCCGCATAAGTGTTTACGACCAGCCACTTTGCCTAAACGTCAACTCTCTATAATTTATATCTCTAGTGGTATATTCAAATTCACTTTATAACTTTCCTTGAATGGCAAATCATGTAAAACGTGACCAACTGCAATGGATCTTCAGACTACTTCGTGATTAATGATTACGCTCCGTCAATCGCAAAGTATTGGTGTTATTACAAACTACCTTACTGGTGGCAGGACGTCTTGAGTCCGCACGGGTAGGCACCACCAATTTCTGCCGTGAAGCAGTAATGCGTTTCGGTTTGACGGGTGGGGCAGCTGTTGTAACTATACTGAGACCTTAGAACTCATATCTCAAGGTGGGTGGCATCATTTACGTTGTAGATGTCTATGAGCTCCGGTAACAGTTGGGCCGTGAGCTCTTTTTACGTTTGAGAGATTACTGGTGGCCCGGAGGCCTTTCCAGTTTCCCAGGGCAGGTGGGCGAGTAAGGGCTCAGCCAGGAGGGGTGGGATTTGCTAACAGTTACCTGAGCGCCTCCAAAGGAGACCTAACAACTCAAGAGTAGCTGCTTCGCGAATGAATCTACTACCGGATCGGAATCGCGACCCACTGAGAAGTTCCGGCGAGAAACTCACTGGGCTGATGTTTAAGTTAGGTTGCACGTCGAACTCTTTGGCGAGTTCGACGAGTACGGTTACTGGGGTCCCTACTCCTAGTGTTAGTGCTAAAGGTGTCTAATGCAAGGGTTATTGGATCTGATGGATCTGTAAGGACGTGAGCCGTGAGCTCGTCCACCCATCTAAGCAACAAATAAAAAAAATATAAAAAACTATACTCAAATGACAGTTCGAATAGATTGCTATACTTAACGATTCTGTATACAAACCTGTTCAAGTTATGGTTCATCACCATTGTATCTTTGGTGTGCTCCGGGCTGTAACCTGAAACAAACGGAGTTAATGTTTGAGAAATTTATAATATAAAAGTAGTAAGTACTTTAAGTGCAAAGAAGTTATTCGCACAAATTATTATCAAAAATAAAGTTAGAATGTAAAAGTGTTATAGTGGAGGAAATTAGCCGTATTGGAAGTCGGTTTTCGATGTAATGATTATGTGGCCAGCATTGTACAGAGAATTATGATGTAAACAGTTCTATGATATTTTTACTCCTAAGTAAATCCAAGTATGTGTACAACATGGTCGTCATATTATAGATTATAATAAAGACCTGAAATGGTATGGAAAAATTTGGTAGCCCAATAAATAGTTTTAATACTATAATACTTAATACGAACGGTGCATATATGATGTATGAGTACGGTGACAATTATTTTTGTATAAAAAAACAGGACAAGGTGGAAAAAAAAACCTATAAAAACTATTAACACGTTTGTTAACATAAGATCGGTTATTAAAAAACAATGGCCATATAATATGGCCCATATTCAGCCGAAACTGAGCGACCTGTACCTACGTGTTAGTGTTGAAAGCGCCTTTTTTACCTACCTGTGCTGTTAGCCTTGAAAGGTTATATCAGCTTCCAACTGCGTGTGTTGCTAATACTGGTCCTAGCAAGAGCAGTGCTTCGCAGAATCTACCACCGGATCGGAAACGCGACCCACTGAGATGATCCGGCGAGAAACTCAGTCGGGGAAAGCGCCATGTTTTATGCTACGCTATTACTATAATATAGTAGTATAATATAATAGGTTAGTTTAGTTATTAGTTTTTACATTACGTTCAGCAATCGATTTTTACATTAGTCGACTAGTCTATTCTATCGGTAACACCGGTTTTGTTTTACGCTCAAGATTCTTCCAAAGTTAATGACACATTACATCTTCGATAGCTCAGTTGATAGAGCGGTGGACTGCAAAAAAAAAATGACACATAATTTTTTTTTTTTCTAAACGATTATTTGCGAACTTAATTATAACTATATTATAACAATTATACTACATTTTTCCATACAAAAATTAAATTTGAGAGTAATTTAAATTTCACTGAAAAACAGTACAAATAAATAAAAACAAGATATTTATGCTTTAAAAAAGACAGCTTCTTAAAAAACAGTACTGTCCTACCAAAGAACTTTCCGAATGGTCACTGTATGTAGGAGAGACCCAAATGGCAAAAGAGGGCATACTGTGAAACCCGCATAATGTGGGATATGTGGGCAAGAAGAAAACTTCATACGTTCGGTCAGCCATAGATTCGCATGGATACCTTGAGAACTATAACCCTATTACTTAAACCATATCTGGCTTTCATCCCATCGCTACCAAACTTTATAGGATCACCCGCTGAGCCAATTCGAAGCTATCCAATAAATTCCGTTATCGGTCCAGCCCTTTCGAAGTCTATAGAGACCCTATACACACATCTACTTTTATTTATATACAGGAACGCTGGAATCAGATAGATTAAAAATAATAAGATGGCGTTGGCGAAACAGCATAAATCTTGTGTATTTTTTTACCCTACCTAGCCTTTCATTCTAGTCATATTATATCCCTACGTTATTAATTATTGTTTCATTCGATTTTTAACTGTGCTATCCATGAAGGTTCATAAGCCAGTGTTCGTAAATATAAACAGAACTACTTAAATACAGTAACTCCAACACTTTTATCGCGTGGCAACTGTAAATTCTGAAAAAGATGGCCGATTTTTATATGAAGTTGCATTGCCAAGGTGGGCTCTGTGATATCACGTTGTAGTTTCTATGGGCTACAGATCCTACAATCAGACGTATTTTCGTAGCTTCGGCAAGATCACTGCCCCAATAAACCAATATTGGGTAGTTGATTGATAACATCCGGAACATATAGACGCTTATCATAGACGCGACCTCGTTTCCGGTACAAGAGATTTTGTATTGAATCTATTTAACATTCTATTGTCTTTACAATTTGTTTCGTATAGGTAACTAAGCCATATGGCCTATTATAAAACGGCAGGCAAAGGCTTAATGTTTTCGATGAGTTTTTTTAAAATATATGTTTGTTTTCCTAATCCATAAGCATGCCATCTTATACAAATGTGCTTGCCATGTTAATGGTATAATACGCTGTAGGTACTGCATTACATTAATTTTGAAATTAATCTGGAAATCATTATTAAAATCATTAATCTTGAAATCCCGAATGAACAAGGAACATCTCTTGTTCTGAATTTGTTATCGTATAATTGTAATACTGTCTAATTAGCATATATTTCCATCAGTCTCTAATATCTATAGCACAAGGAATCCTAGCCTGGTGCCAAAGAGCTATTGTATCTATCTATCTCCGGCTATTCATTTAATTGGTGGCAAAAAAAATGTCTGTATCCTCTAATCTCCCTGATTACAGTTATTTTGAACGCTAATAACATTCAGTGTACAGTATTTGATGATATTCCGTATTCAATACAAATAATTGAAAATCAGCGACCAAAAAAAAACTTATTTATTTATTTATACTTATTGTACACAAAAAAGAAAATACAATAAAAACATATTTAAAAGAATGTCTAAATACTATTTACAAAGGCGAGCTTAACTCATTCATGAGTTTTCTTCCAGCAAACCATTAGCAGAGTGAAATACGATGTATAAGAGGGGAAAAGTGTACAATATAAAAGGTATTAAAGCATGACTGTTAAACCAACAGTCATGCTTTAATGAAGTCGTCGTGGCCTAAAGGATAAGACGTCCGGTGCATTCGTGTTGAAGCGATGCACCGGTGTTCGAATCCCGCAGGCGGGTACCAATTTTTCTAATGAAATATGTACTCAACAAATATTCACGATTCACTTCCACGGTAAAGGAATAACATCATGTAATAAAAATCAAACCCGCAAAATTTTAATTTGCGTAATTACTGGTGGTAGGACCACTTGTGAGTCCGCGCGGATTGGTACCACCGCCCTGCTTATTTCTGCCGTGAAGCAGTAATGCGTTTCGGTTTGAAGGGTGGGGCAGCCGCTGTAACTATACTGAGACTTTATAACTTGTATCTCAAGGTGGGTGGCGCGTCTACGTTGTAGATGTCTATGGGCTCCAGTAACCACTTAACATCAGGTGGGCTGTGAGCTCGTCCACCCATCTAAGCAATAAAAAAAAAAAACAAGGCTTAAAAAAAAAATACAATGTTAAAGCGCGTATAAAAATTCAGGTTTGCGCTCACGTGAAATACATTCAAAACCGTAACAAAACCTAACCAGATAACGAGCGCTCGCCGCAGAGACCACACGAAGCCAATAAAAGGCCATTATGTTACACTTACGGTAGACTCTGCCACCTGAAAGTTCAATGAACTCTCGTTTGAGCAAGCTGCTCCGTAAACAAATAAAGCGGATCGTTATTGAGTAACTGTATTTACATTTATCCGGTGCTAAGCATTGACTCAGTTGTTGATGATTCAAAAGGTCCTAACTTTTTTATAATAAGGCAATTGGCTTCTTGCTATGCCGATATTGCCAGTGTCGAAAATCTTGAATTATTACTACTATGTTATAGGAACTCCTTTGAAAGGAATCAAATCCAATATAGGAAAAGAAATTGAATGTAACGAGATGTAATAAAATAACGTCTCAAATCTGTAAAATGGTTGGAATTTACTGAGAATTCAGTGGGCTTTTTAGGGGGGTCCCGAGAAGCCAAGTCCAGCGAGTTTGCTTCATTTTCCGCATTCAGGCTTATCATACGTCATCTCTGCATTCGCATCCTTCTCTCGCATATCCTCTTTCATACAGAAGATTTAAATCTTTTAGGACGTCCCCTATTAACGTCTACTTTCATACCCACGATATTTTTGACCACATGACCATACTCTCTTCGCATAACATACCCCCTACCACGATAACCTTTCACTCTTGATTTTCTCTGTCACAGATAATATTATTATATATTATATATATTATTGCAGCAAGTTATAAATAGCATACATTGCGCGATGTGTACTCGCCCAATGAACGCAATGACCAAGTCAGCTTCCAATGTACTACATGCATTGCGTTCTCTACACTTCAATCTTTGAAATTTCGGCCTTTGCCCTGATTGGCCGTGGTGCAGTTTGTCGATAGTGAGGTGACCATGTGGTGAAATAAAATCATCGACAGAATTCTCGACTATATTTACATTTGACATGGATAATTTTTGCATTATTTTATATTTAATTAATGATACCTAGTATATTCTTAGTGAGACGTATTTTGAGTAAAATAAATATGTATTATTATTATTGAATTATTATCATTGAATTAAAGTGAAGGTATAATATAAAGGGACATGTAGACCTCTCATTTACGGGTATTTACTATATTGTCTAAGACGTATTAAAATCTAAGTAAAATGCTATTTGACTTATGCAGTAAATTAAAAATTTTAGGTTTCCTAAAGAACCTAACGCCAGGGAACAATGGATTGACGTGACAGGTAGAGGAAACTGGAGACAAAGACGAGTACTATTTGCTCTAAACATTTTACTGAAAATGATTTTACCATAAAAAAATCAGAATAGACTTAGTTTTGAAAAATTCATTCGCAATTAATAGCAAGCGCCAACTGCTTAACAAATACGTTTTATTCCAGCGACAGTGACTATTTGTAATTAATAAAAGTAAAATAGTTTTCTTTTTCAATTTCTATTTCATGTTTCATTTTCTCCATTCATTCATCAGATAATTTATCGATAAAGAATATCGATTTTATCAAGCACTAGCGTGTATGAACATTTTTATTGCCTTTTGCGTGTGTAAGTGTGTATGCCTACGGGTGTTTTGTGCTAGTTTGCGAACGAATATCAGTCCTGAGATGTATGTGTGGGTGTTTTTGTTGTGTGCGAAATACTTGTAATCACAGTGTGTGTATGTGTAGAAATTAAAATAGTGGGGATGAAGCGGCGACACTGATTCTAATACAAAATTAGAGCAAAGGCCTTTCCAACCTTATTTATCT